GATATTGAAGATATCAAATAATTTACTCGAAAATAAAACAAGGAAATCACAGCTTACCGGTGAAAACTTGATGAATCATCCATCGTATCGATAATCAATACGATTATTTATTTATAATATTTATAAATTTGTATATTTTTTCTCACCGTCACAAGAAATGTTGTAGTTTATAATTTTGTTCTCTCTATTACACTTCACAGAAAACTTGCTTTAGCATCTGCTCGGTTCCAAAACTACCTTACGACTGACGATCGTTGGGTTTCGCTATTGCTATTTTATACCCCACAAAGTTAACTGCAACCGGATAGCCAACTGGCACAGAGTAATAACGGGGTACCCAGGTACCTAATGATTGTTCGGTTTCGCTATTGTTATTTTATATTCCACAAAGTTAACTGTAACCGCTAAGCCCAGTAGCGCGCAGTAAGTGGGTACCCGATCATTGAACGAATGATGAAATTTTGGTTATTGACCGGACGGTTAAATTGTTATTAAGAGATGAAGAAACACAGCGACCGAATAGTGAATCAGGTGCATATTCTACGTTAAACCATTTTGCGGCCCTTATAAGGGCCATTTTTGTTTAATTGAGGGACACTGTTTACGCCTTCTTCTCAGTCTTCTTGGGTAGCAGAACTGCCTGAATGTTTGGAAGCACACCGCCTTGAGCGATGGTCACACCAGACAGTAACTTGTTCAGTTCCTCGTCGTTACGAATGGCCAGCTGCAAATGACGTGGGATGATCCTCGTCTTTTTGTTGTCACGTGCAGCGTTTCCCGCCAATTCCAACACTTCAGCAGCCAAATACTCCATAACGGCCGCCAAGTAAACAGGAGCTCCAGCTCCGACACGCTCGGCATAGTTGCCTTTGCGAAGGAGCCTATGAATACGGCCGACGGGGAACTGGAGGCCAGCCCTGCTGGAGCGAGACTTTGCCTTTCCCTTCACTTTTCCGCCTTTGCCACGTCCGGACATTATGACTTCTCTGTATAGTACTAGCAAACGTCCAACAAACTATTCGTTCGACAAGCGAAGCAACTATGAATTAAAAGGTAGCGGTTGAACGGTTATGTAGCAAAGAGGGAGCTTCCTGCGCTCCAATCCAGTTGCGTCTCACCGTTGGCGTTGGAAGCGCTAGCGCCTGATTGGTGCGCCCATGGCCCTGCTACTCCATAAAGAGCGTGCCCAAGCGGGCAGT